ACACCTTGTCCTCATCCTGCAGTACGGCCTCTAACCTGCGCCTGAAAACATTCGCCTGATTTAATTCCCGGAGGTAGAGCCTTTCTTCTTTAAGAAAGTCATTGGCTAGCTGAAAGAAAAAGATAAAGCGTTACTTAAGTTTTTTTTCCAAGTGAAGTGCTGGAAAATGAGTGATACTTACGGACTCATATGTAGTATTTTGCTCTTTTTCCTCATCAGACTCGTCTAAATCAAATTCATAGAAATTTGACAAAAATCCACCAGGCGATTGATCATCGTCGTCATTTCGTAACGAATTCGATAATTGCATAAGAGCCTTTAAAAATATGGGACAAGGGATTTCAGTTAAAGTCTAGACAAAAGAAAACCCTACCTTATCCGCGCTAAGGGCAATCTTCAGATTCGCTAAATTTATTTTCAAATCGGAGTTCTTGATATTTTTCACATAATTTCCTGTCCATTTCATTATATCCTAAAATGTACTAGGGGCTCTTCATAAAATATACAATGTCTTGATACCTCAGAGATGCCTTCACAGATGGCAATAAGGTAGTAGGACATTTTATCTATTTCCTTGTCCTTCTCTCGGTCTTTCTTGTCCTTTTCACGGCCAAGATTGTCCTAAAAAACATTAAATGGCATTTCCTTAATTTCGCGCATGTTCTAAGGTATAATATACGACTTCGTTCGATTATGCTTACTTTTATGATTGAAGACATTTTGTGGTGCAGTTCATGAGGTAATCGGGAAGCTCCAAATCTTCCCGCATGAAATTTCCTACTACTTATTGTATGATTGTACATGGCATCCCAAGCATCCTGGAACGATGTTGCATTGATGACAATGCAGTTATCTCCAACAGCACAAGAAATGAGGAGAGAGCTTTCTGATAAGAAATCTAAGCGATTTACCTTAGTAATCCAGTGACATGAAACTGGGAATAGTTTTCGAGCAGCTTTATCCATTTCAACCACACTAACGGATTTCTGATCCAAAATCTGATAAACAACACATCAGAGATCATTCAAAAACAATAGAGTCACTGTCTTTAGCAAAGCGCTTAGGGTTAGAGTCCTAACCTCATTGACGATTTGGTTGATAAGATCCTTAATGTGCAGCACGGCATCATGA